CGCGACAACACGAGTGCGGCGTTAAACAACAAACGAAGATATATGCTCGGGATCCACTAGCCATGCAGACAAAGTGATGTGAGGTGGGGTGGGTTGAGGTGAAGTGAGGTGAGGTGAGGTGAGGTGAAACGTCGGGTTCAAGATTATTTCACTCAGTTTGCAATTTGCATGCACGTGTGTTTGTTGCTGATTGTACTCGGACTTGTGCAGGATTTATAGTGCTAGCCCACTGAGATACCATGCCGCAGTTTAACATGGATACCACACTCAGACACAGTATACTGACACCGAGTCGACCACTCCTTGTTTAGCCCCTTTATGCCGAGCGCTAGACAGGGTAACAACAAGTACTATCTTTTAACGTCTTTTTGGTATGACGCGACCGGGGATCGAACCCCGGACCTTAAGCTTTCCGGACAGACGCTCTAGTTCTACACCAGAAGTCCTGGGTACGTCAGGGGTCGTGAGGTAGCCTCGTGGTGTCCCGGGTTCGATTCCCAACATGGGTACAATGTGTGAAGCTCATTCCTCGTGTCCCCCGTCGAAGAATTGCTGGAATATTGCTATAAAACATACTCACTTATCCTGGACGCATTAGAACACCCGGTAAGGAGTCCGGGTTAGGATTGGTCCCCAGCAACCAATACTGGTCGTAAGAGGCGACCAAACAGATCAGGTGGTCAGGCTCTGTGACTTGGTTGATTGCATGTCATCGTTCCCAACGGCACGGGACGTTGCGCACAGCATCAATCACTGGATTGTCTTGTCCAGACTCGATTTATACATATCGCGGTCATGTAACTGGAATTTTGCTGAGTATGGCGTTAACAAACAAAATAAACAGTAGACATGTCTAGGTACATATTATGTTGAGGCTGTGAAGAGGTGTTGGAATGTTCCAGGTACGTGACGCTTTGTCCTGGTCACGTACTGTCCTCCCGGACTCGTCTCACATGATTCTGACAGCTGCACTTAGACTTGCACAAGTCTCTGAGGCAATAATTTGTTGTTTTAATCATAAGTTCTAGATTATGTAAATAATAAGAACAAGTTGTCCCTATAAGAGACTGGAGTACTGCCCACATATCTAGACTCGTCTTTGAGGGGGGTAGAATTACGACACATCCATGGATTTTTCTTTCAGTACAGCCTTGGAGCAAGGCTAAGCTGCACCCTTTGTCGGGTGAAATACTTGTCCACAATAACTGTTTGAAGTGGAACGGGTGAACTGGAATGCCGTGTCTTTTGTCAGATATACTTTCTTTAATGTCGTGTCGGTTTACGGGGTAGGGGTAGAGACACAAAACAGACAATAGTGTAAATTTAGGATTGCACGTATCCTCAATACAGGTATGTTTACTTTTAGACTTAATGTTGAAATGAAACTGTCAGCTGTACACTGACAAGCTAGATATGCTACTCAAAACAAGTTCTTTAATATTACCATATAGTAATTCAGCTTAACTGCATAGTTTTGTTTTGTTTGTTTGTTGTTTAACGCCGCAATCAGCAGTATTCAAGCTATATGACAGCGGTCTGTAAATAATCGAGTCTTCACCAGACAGTCCAGTGGTTGACATCATGAGCATCGATCCACGCAATTTGGACCGGTGACTTGTATCAACCAAGTCAGCGACCCTGACCACCCGATCCCGTTAGTCGCCTTTTACGACAAGCATAGTCGCCTTTTATACAGCAAGCTTGGGTTGCTGAAGACCTATTCTACCCCGGATCTTCACGGGTCGATTAACTATATAGGTACGTTTTACCTTGCTATCGGGTGAGATGAAATGGGGTTTAACAGTGTGTGACCTAGACTGACATTCAGTCCCAGAAATAAAGTTATCATCTTCAAAAACATATCTACAAAATGAAAATATTTAAACAAAAAATCCAAATGGAGCTCCGAACAATCTTTAATTTCAGGGAGCGGAGCTAGAGCTGAAGCTATCTAGACTTGCCAAATCATGCTAGACTTGAGTTGGATTCCTTTTTATTATTTTTTTCTCTAGGGTCTGGGGGACACTGTATGTGACCTGCTTGAGTCACTGTGCCCTATTCCCGGCGGCATGGTTCGCTGCTCATTCCATCAACCTCTGGGTTAGCCATACTCGGTTATCTTCGGGCTGTCTTTACTCAATTATAAGCAGCGGAATCTCTGCACTTGTACACGGCAGAAGTAATTCAAAGTTAACATATCGTTGTTTCCACAACATCAGTAAACGCGCTATCGTGTCACTGGATTGTCCAGTCCAAACTCTGTCACTAGATTGTCTGGTCAAGACACGATTATTTACAGGACGCTTTTTATGCAAATAGTCTGAGTGACGGGTGCTGCCGGTAGAGCAGGACATGCTGGCCCTTTTCGCGAACACCTGTGTCCTTACAGCGATCCATTCACATAAAGTTCATCGATATTTGCATTTTCCGCCCAATGGTGAGTGAGTGAGTTGGGTTTCACGCCGCATTTAACAGTATTCCTGTAACAGTATTGACCTTACCACGAGCCACGAGCACGGCTATGGCGCTGACAAACCTGGAGACATAATCGGGGCGAACCGGGATTCGAACCCACAATCATAGGTTTCTGGCGTGCCCAAGGGACGCAACCCTGCACAGCGAATGCGGCGCCTTAGACGACTGGGCCACCCGTGCCACCTTCGCCCAATGGATTCTGTCTCGGCAAATAATCGAGATTATTCTCTGGCGATGACATTTTATATTTATACAGCCGGACTATCGCAGACTGAGGCTTAAAACAACACTCACTCACTGGATACAGGCGCCATGATGCGTGATACCTATATACGATAATGATAATAATGCACAGCTATGGAACATGATTAAAAGGTGAGGTTTAACGTCGCGTCCAAGATTATTGCACTTATATAGCGACGTGCATGCACGTGTGTGTGTGTGTGTGTGTGTGTGTGTGTGTGTGTGTTTGTGTGTGTTTGTGTGTGTGTGTGTGTGTGGCTGCTTGTACTAGTCCGGACTGATGCCGATTAATAGTGCTAGCACACTGAGATACCATGCCGCAGTTTAACATAAATACCCTACTCAGACTCCCAGCCGACCAGTCCTTGTTTTAGCCCCTTAATGCCGAGCGTCAGACAACAAGTACCATCTTTTAACGTCTTTTGGTATGACGCGGCTGGGGATCGAACCCCGGACCTTCCGTTCTCCGGGCGGAAGCTCTACCACTAGACCACGGAGGCGGTCTGAACATGATTAATAAATACAAATATGAAAATATAACTTTTTTGACGTGACAAAGGGTTGACCTTTCTCTGACCCTGGTATGATTTGTTTGACCTTTCCTTCAAACGTGATTAAAGCGTACAGTAAGTCCAATATATTCAATTTCACTTTTATTGTTCCTGGCAACAAAGGGAATCGGTTGTGGTTTAAACAGCTTGACAGGCAGTCCGGTTCTTGGCACTGTGACAAATGCCGGAATAATGCATGTTGGGAAAAGAAAACACATGTCAAAATGTCGACCCATTGTGTGAAAGGTTAGGGTTCGTCTCAAAAGTTACTTTCCCGTTTTAATTTACCACTTTCATGGAAGCGAAGCTGTGCATTGAATTAATACTCTATGTGTCAATTATCTTGAAAACGTGACCACAGTTGAATGTTTATACAATTGTTTGTGATCTATCGCACCCGAGTGGAATATGACGGCTTTACCTCGTGCACAGTGTCGTTGTGGGAATCCTTATGACGTTTGAGACGGTCCCGATCAGTTTAAAAAGTCTACTGGCGATTTGCCGCAGTCCAACAAAACGAGGACAAAGGCAAGTTTCAAACTATTTCAAATTTGGCTTTAGATTTTATACATAATAACATATAATTGGTTACTGTTAGAAGATAAAATAATAACAATAACAACACTAATAATAAAAACAATAATAACGTCAGAAACATTTTCGGAATAGTTTTCATCTTAAATATTTGGAAAATTGTCCGTATGTGTAAGATTGTAAACACAACAGGCAGTGCGGTTTGAACAAGGAAAAGGAAAAATAGCTATATCCGCCTGTAAGATTATTAAAAAATTATTTAAGATATAGTTTAGAAGCCAAATATGACTCAACAGATTAACATATAAAACAAAGAAATATGAAATTAAATCAGTAAACTGATTCTCCTGTTTTGAATTTAAAGTCTGGGCCTGAGTGTCTTTGTTGAGTATGTGATAGGGTCTTTTTCATAACCCGTGACAATATAGTCCTGACGATATCATTTGATATCATTTGATATAAGCGAGTGAGTATGGTTTTATGCCGCTATTAGCAATATTCCGGCAATATCACTGCGGAGGACACCAGAGATGGGCTTCACACATTGTACCCATGTGGGGAATCGAACCCGGGTTTTCGGCGTGACGAGCGAACACTTTAAATAACCACTAGGCTATACGACCACTCCCATTTGATATCATCTTGTATATGCTCCCAGTTGGCTGAATATGGCTGTAAAGTAAGTACAGTCAAACGCTGTTGTGTCGAAGTTGAAGGGACCTACGTGAATACTTCGAGTTATCCGAGGTTCGACACAACCGAACATGGTGAATACAGAAGGAATGCGCAGGGACCAAGCTTTCACTACGAGACAAGCGTGGGTTCTGCACATCAAAGTTCGACGCAACGGTGTTTTACTGTAGTGTAATACCATATGGTTATATACACACACGCAATTAATCACTAGGAGTCATATGGAAGCTGTCGTACCCATCTCGAATTAGTATGGTCGTTATATTACCGGGATATTGAGTCATTAAGGGCGTTGTGTCATCCCGTATGCGTGGAGCCTGGCGACTGCAGCCTCGCATAGGATAAACTTCTGAAACACGTGATAATTGTTTGAATTCGCTGAGTTTACACGATCGTATGCCATATTACAGATGCTTTTGCTATTTCATAAATTTCAATTTGTAGAACGCGTGTTAATTCACTCCCGTTGTTGATATTAATTATGAAGCATAAAATGTTACATAATTTATGTTTGCCCTGCTGATGTTGGAAATGATTATATTTCGGGGTAATGACTCTTGTTATTCAGTGGACCGAGGCAGTGCTGAATCGAGCCCAAAGGTAAATCACCGCCCTGGAGAGCACACAAAGGTTTACTGCGGGCGAAGTGGGGAATAACAATTATAATCTTTCATCTGAAATATTGATCCATCTGTCCCGTGCACTGCATGGCGCGTGCTGTTATCGTCTGCTCCGGACGCCATTTTAGTTCAAGCGTCTTATTTGGGGCCCGATTTTCAAAATATTTGGATGAATATTGTTGACGTATCTGTTTGGAGTGGATTTCGTCCAAATCCCATTTGTTCCACCGTGTGAGTCACGCGGGGGCCGTTGTTTGGAGTTCGAAGCAGACGAGCGCTGTGGAAATATAATCGTTATGAAGTAACACTAACAGTTCATGGGAGTCGACTCGGTTCAGTGTCAGGAAGGATTTGGGTGTTCACTTTTCATGGATGTTGCCCTGTTACTGGGCTGTCATTCACAGTGAATCAAGCTCACACATCCAGGATACCTCATATAGACGAGCGTGTACGATAGACAGCTGGCAGTGGTTGGTAGCGCAGACGACAGTCGGACTTGCTTGGGTATGTACGTTGTGAGATTTTATTGACTCTAAATCATTGACAAAGGTTTATTCTTGACGAAACCGTTTCTGGTTCTGTCAACAGGTACTTCTACTGTTTACTATAAGCAGAGCAGACGATGTTTAAAGCAGACGATGTTCAAAGCAGACGAATGAATGATTAAATGCAGAAAAGTGTTGTAGTTTCCTGAACATATATCGATTGTCTCTGAAACTGATAGTGCTCCGATAACGGAGTCTGGAGAGAGGAAATCGTTCTCTGTATTGGCATAGGGTTCGAGGATGATTTAATCGTCTCCTGTGAATGGAAATGGCAAAGAGTACAGCAATGTTTTGTTTCATTTATGTCAAACTAACGATCTAGTTGGAACCTTCATGAACACATATGTGTTCTGGATCTAATTCAGTTCACCTCGCGCCAGAACGTTGTCATTTCGAATTCTGTGTGTACGGGTCATTTTGTCGGGGAACAAATATTATTTTGTGATTTGCGAAAACGACAACACCTTCATCGGATTCCTACAGCTGTGAAATACTCATTTCAGTTTAACTTTGATAATATTTCCGGTGTAAAGGAACTAATATAATATTTAGTCTCTGATATGAAAATATTTTTAGATTCTATTTGTTAAAACATATGTTATTATATAAGGAAAGGGGTGCAGATAACCTCTTTATTATCAGGGACTGAAGAAAGACCTGCCAAAGCGTTATATGCATTAGAGGTTTCGGACATTATTCTTTTGGTGTCTGTGTGAAAGATAAAAGAAATAGAACTAGGCTGCTTGGGTAGCCTTGTAGTCAAAGCGTTCGCTCGTCACGCCGAAGACCCGGGTTCGATTCCCCACATGAGTACAATATTTGAAGCAACTTTCTGGTATCCATTGCCGTGATATTGCGGGAATATTGCCAAAAGCGGCGTAAAACCATACTCACTCACACACCCTCACTAAATCAGCTAGAACTGAGAAGGTTGGAGAATGGAACGGGGATAATGTTGTATTAAACATATGTGTACGCTCTGGGGTATGTAAGAGAGACAATCTGGCTCCTCTCGTCTTCACGACTCGTCTTGTATCGAAACTCTCAACACACGTGTAAATGTTACTGGTACATGACTCACAGAACACATTACAGGGATGCGGGTACAGTTGTTTGTCTGAATCACTAGACGGTGATGCACGCGTTAGTGTACGTGTTGTACTGTGATGAGATAACGCGGCCCGCGCGTTAAGGCTGTTTCTTTCGCTGCAAGCGTATACATACCACACTTTTAAGAAGGATATGTTTCAGCTTTCCATGATACGCAAAAATGATTCTCATTTGTCAAGTGTACGGTTAAGTATGTCTGACATATATGATTATCCCATATCAAAAGTTGAGTCAAACGCATACGCACGTACACACGGAAGAGTAGTGTAGGTGGCCATTGGTTGTTTTCTAGCATATGAAATACAACTCAAAAGAAGTTAATTGAAATACCAATAAAATCAATGTAAACTTAAATCACATTTTGTGTCAAGGCATATTGAAGGGTTGAACGATGTGAGGATTCACTGAATTACGTAACCCACTGTTTCAGTCCTTGACCCGCAAAGAACAGTATGACCTTTCCATGTTTACCATAATGAGGCGTTAGTCGTATAATTCTAAAACAAGGCCCGTCGTTTTTACAAGTACTAGGTCAGAGATCTTTGCTCTTTAATTGTCGGGCTTTTGTCCCACATCGTCCACATCAAGCTTACACGCCGTGATATAGCTGGAATACTGTTCAAAGCAGCGTTAAACCCAACTCACTCAATCTTTTAGTTGGTTGGTTGTTTTACGCCGCACTCAGCAATATTCCAGCTATATGACGGCGGTCTGTACATAATCAAGTCTGGACCCGACAATCCAGTGATTGACATCATGAGCGTCGATCCACGCAATTGGGATCGATGACATGCATCAACCAAGTCCGCGAGCCTGACCACCCGATCCCGTTAGTCGCCTCTTACGACAAGCATGGGTTACTGAAGACCTATTCTACCCCGGATCTTCACGGGTCTACTCTTTTAGTAATCAAGTTTGACAGATAAACACATTTCTATCTTTTTGGACACGACCTGTTGTGTTTTTTTTTAATAGAAGGCAGTTAGAGCATAAAATTAATATGACCATTGCCCCGTTCCACAAAGCGATCGTGGCGCAAAGACGATCGTTAACTCCCATACTTTAACACGGACATACGACAGTCGTGGCGCTACCATCACTTCGTGGAACGGGGCCATAACAGTAGCGTTTGTGCTTTTTTTATCAACTCGGCACAAGTGTTACCCAAACAATCGCATTTCAAGCTACCTGTCGCGACAAAGATGAACAACTGCGCCAAGCTAATTAGAAATCAAACAATGCTAATTGATGACACAGTGGTAATTAGTCCGTCCCGTAGCCTGCGGCTGACCTACTGATCGGCTTAGCTGCACAGACAGGCGAGTTAAGACGACATTGACAATGTTGTCTTTGTAAACAACGCAGCGTTCAGTCATACTTACTGGCAAGGTGTATTTAACATGGGAGGGGTGCTGACTCAGAGCTTAAGAAGATACAGCGGTCTCAGGAGCCGGAGTTGGACACAGGTGAGCGTGTGTACAGAACTGCAACACTCCTCTCTTAATGGTGGATGAATATACTGGAATATACGCAATTCGAGAAGTAATGTTTTAAAGTAGTTTTGGTATCATGTGTCATTTTTGATTGGATTCCGTGTTTTTCGGTAATTTATTATTTTGACTTTTGCCACATGTTACCGTGTATGTTCAGGTGAACACTTGACTTGCCTTTGCATGTGTTTGTTACTGATGTTACCTTCCCGAACACCTTGTATCATCATATTTGACAGTCATGGTTATGCTATAGTCGGAATCGTACACTGGACTATGGTTTCTTATGATTAGGAGGCGGTGGGGTAGAATATTTGTTAAAGCATTCACTCGTCACGCGGAAGACCCGGGTTTGATTCTCCACATGGGTACAATGTGTGAAGCCCATTTCACGCGCCCCACGCCGTGATATTGCTGGAATGTTGCTAAAAGCGGCGTAAAACCATACTCAGCCACCTATGATAAGGGAAATGGTTCTGTCCCTGTGTATATGTTAGATGTTTAAAACATAAAAAAAACCCTTTTGTACATATCTGTCATAACAACGTCTTTGATGTTTGTAATAGATTCAGATTGATTTTATTTTTAAACACCACTAACGAAGGTACAAGAGTGAGTGAGTGAGTTGGGTTTAACGCCGCTTTTAACAGTATTCCAGTTATATCACGGCGTGTCAGCTTAATGTGGGAGGAAAGCCCGAAGTGATGCAGGTATCAGACGTTTACCACTTCAGTGAAACCCACGAGCACGGGTATGGTGCTGACACACCTAGAAACATAATGGATGGACATGCTGTCTTCATTGTGTGTCATGTGGCGTGGTGTAATGTTGGTTAGCCTCGCGGTCAAGATTACTGCACTTGTTTAGGTGTGTGTGTGTGTGTGTGTGTGTGTGTGTGTGTGTGTGTGTGTGTGTGTGTGTGGTGTGTCTGTCTGTCTGTCTGTCTGTGTGTGATTATTACAATGCCGGTGTATAGCGGTGTGTGTGTGTGTGTGTGTGTGTGTGTGTGTGTGTGTGTGTGTGTGTGTGTGTGTGTGTGTGTGTGTTTACAATTCCGGTTTCACAGTGCCAGCCCACTGAGATACCATGCCGCAGATTGACATGGACCCAACTCAGTATACTGACTCAGAGACGACCAGGCAGGGTAACAACAAGTACCATCTTTTAACATCTATTGGTATGACGCGTCCAGGACATCAAACCTTCCATTCTCCGGCTAGACGCTCTATCCACTAGAGCACGTGTCATGTTACTGCATGGGGTTGTTCTAATACATACATTCGTGACAGACACGTACGTACGTACAGGGGTCACATTATTATGTCATATATCGTTCACTCGAGAACAGACCCGTGAAGATCCGGGGTAGAATAGGTCTTCAACAACCCATGCCTGCCGCAAAAGGCGACTATGCTTGTTTTAAGAGGCGACAAACGGGATCGGGTGGTCAGGCTCGCTGACTTGATTGATGTATGTCATCGATCCAAATGGCGTAGGTTGATGCTCATAATGTCAATCACTGTGTTGTCTGGTCCAGACTCGATTATTTACAGACCGCCGTCATACAGCTGAAATATTGCTGAATGTGGCGTTAAACAACAAACCAATAAACAATAAACACTCGAGAACAAAACAACTCATGTTGAAGTGAATTGTTTTACGTCCAGTGACAGGTTATATTTAAATTCTGTCTGTACATTCTGGACTTGTCGACCGCCCCGTGGTCTCGTGGTGGAGCGTCCTCCCGGAGAGCGGAAGGAAGTCAGGGGTACGATCCCAAAAGACGTTAAAAGAATATACTTCTTGCTACCACGCTCGACATAAAGGGGATAAAACAAGGACTGGTCGGCTGGGTGTCAGTTTACTGTGTTTGAGTGGGGTATTCATGTCAAACTCTTTCACTTTCACGCGACATGGTATCTCGGTGGGCTAGCGCTATAAAATATGCACTAAAGTGTCAACTTTAGCATCCACTGTCATATGACGGATCACATCCTCATCTACATGTATATCCTTTCAATAATGATCAATTAGTGATGACGTCAGGGGCTCGCGAAAAGGTCAGCGTATCCTGCCCCACCGAAGGCACTCGTGCCCATGCAAATGCAAGTCAATGCTTTAACCACTATGCTACCCCACCGCCCCCTAATCATAAGAAATCTCTATTAAAACCATATTCCAGTGTACGATTCCGACTATAGCACAACCATGACTGTCAAATAGCATGATACAAGGTCTTCGCGAAAGGTGACATCAGTAACAAACACATGCAAAGGCAAGTCAAGTGTTCACCTGAACAAACACGGGAACATATGGTAAAGGTCAATAGGGAATTGCATCGGTCAAAGTTTTGTCACCG